AGTTTGCAGGGTAGCTGGCCTTCTAGAAGCAAAGGGGACAGGGGTGCTATTTCTCCCTAAATTTTACTAAGACTAGCAGTTGGGCTGGGGATTTAACTCAAGGACATAAGCACCTGCCTTGCAAACATGAGGTCGTGAGTTCTATCCCCACTACCAAAAAGAAAAAAGAAAAAAAAAACTTTAACAATTAACTGAAGTTTAGGCCTAAAAGTTGATAAAGTATTCATGACAACATTCACGTTATAGATTTACACCCTCAGATAAACAGTCAGATGCAGAGCAGCAATAATATCTGTCAGGTACTATACTTAATATCTCCCCCACGTTAAAGTTGGAGGGGGAGATTACTGCACTCAGCAGATCTACCTTTGTCTGTTATGAAGAGTGGGGAAAAATCTTTGTTGTAGATGATACTTTTCACATGTGCAAAGTTTTTATCCACTCAGCGTAGACAAGGCCAAACTTCATTTTGTCAAACCAAAACCATGCCATCAGGTGCCCTTGGTAAAGCAGTGGTATCACCTTCTGTGCACCAGACTGGTAGAAGAAATTAGGAATGGCTTAGCAGAGCTCAAGCACAGAAAGTATTTTCGTGTTCTTCTCTTTGGATTCACATTCATACCAGGTAGACTTTGTCACATACCTATAGAGAAGAAGAACTTGTTCATGCATGCAGAACAAAATAAAATAAGATTAAAAGTGCCAGGAAATCAGCCTGCTTCAAAACCCATTAAAGTGTGCCTGTCCCCCAGCTTTACAAAAGTGTTAATTGTGGCGTTCCAGTCATGTAAATATGGTCCCCGGGGTGGGGGCGGGGAGCGAGGGACTCAATGGCACTGTGAAGGCGCAGCCCGGGCAGCGCCTGCCTGGCTCTCAGTGCCCAGAAATGCTTCGCGGACGCTCCGGGCTGCCTAGCAATGGGACTCGCTGCTCCTGGCGAGCTCGACAAAGTAAATACAACGACTGAACACAAGGCAGCGCCTAGTAAAAGCAACAATCCCCCCTTGTGAGCACCTACACTGGCCGCATTAGAAATCCCTTCTTTATACCCAGGAGCTGGCAGGCCCTGCTGGGTGGGGGCCTCAGAGAAAGCACAGAGGAGCCACAAGACGAGGCCGCTCCACGAGCCTCCACAGCCATTGTCCAGGCTCCACAGTGCGCGCAGGTGGTTTGCGGCAGAGGGACATGTGGGCTGCGCCAGGCGACCTGCAGCCCTGTCCCCACGCACGCAGCATGTGATACTGTGACCACCACTCCCACAGGCACATCTTCGGATGGCATGGTTTAGGGCTCGTGTACTGTGAGCCTCGTGCTGGTCCAGGTGGGTGGCACAGCCACAGGTGGGTCTGTAACACCCGAGTTGCTGGGATTCAGCAGTCGCCTCACTGCGTGCACATTCAGCTGCCAACGGGTGACCCCAGAGGAGACGCCTGGTGAGAGTAACCTGAGTTTGAATCCTGCACATGCAGATGAAGGTTGCTTGCTTTCCTGGCCCCCATTTCTGGTCCGTCACACTTTCAGAGAGAAAGGAAAGGGGGCCAGGAGGCCTCAAATGGTCACACCTCAGCCTCACTCCTCAAAGAATGCTGCACAAGCTCCACATATGTGCGAGCGCTGTGTAGTCCAGAACCATTTCATGTTCTTGAGGCACTGGGCCTGGGACCAAGAGAGACACTGTCCACAAGTCAGGGAGGAGTGACCCTTCCCACACAGCGCCTGTGGGTCCAGATGCCTCCACAGCCTCTCTCTGAAAGGACCTGTCCCCTTCCTTCCGCTGGGAGGTGGCCCCAGGCCCCAGATCTCAATTGTCCAAATTGTGCCCCCCCCCACGGGAGCTGGAGCCCCCAGATCACATGGGAGCCAGGCTGGCCTTGGACAGCTGTCTAGGGAGCTCTGCAAAGCCTCCTTCAGGTCAGGGTGCAAAAAGAGAGGCTCCCAGGCACCATGGATGCCTGGGCTGACTTCACCCATGCACACCTTTGTCCCCAGCAGAGACTGACGTGGCAGAGTCCCTGTTACAGTTGCGTTATTCTGGCTGTGACCTAAGTGTTTTCCAGTCCTGGTCATGTTAAAACAGCAGTGGGAATAAAATGAACCAAAGAACAGAGGGGAAACCAAAGGACAAAGATACCACCTTCATTGTGTGTGGGAAGAAAACAGTGGGGAAGGGACGCTCTGTAGGGACCCCTGTCCTCTGCAGGGACCTGTGTCCTCTGCACACGTACAGGTGGAGAAGGCGCAGAGCAGGAACCCCGCATCCTACAGGAGGGACACCGCATTCAGATGCTGAGCTCCCTGTCAAGGTCCAACCCCACATGAGAGGATGATGCTTGCAGTGCCCCCAAGGCTCCCACTGAGCCTCTTCCCAGGCTGCCACCCGGCCTCCCTGCAGTCCTCCATGACCAGGTGGACCCCAAGAGTTGCCGCCTCCACCAGAGGAGGCGAGCAGAGACACTGGGCCACCAGGTCTCTAAAACCAGAAGGAAGCAGGAGGCACCACAGCTGCATTTTCCCATTAAATTCACTTCCTCACTGCCTCTCACTCTCTCGTGCACTAACCCCACAGCAACAAGCTGTGACAGACTCCACAAGGGTGGCCCCTGCCTCCCAGGCCATGCTCTGAGCCCTGATCCTGGCTGGCCCTGAAAGCTTATTTCTGATGAGGACTTTCCCCTCTTTGCACAGCCTGGGCCCCTTTCCTGCAGGCTGTGCGGGTCCCTCAGCCGTGCCCTCACAACACGCAGCACGGCTTCTGCTCCACTGGGTGGTGCCCTCTGCTGGCACCCGCCATCCGGGTGTCATGGCTCCCCTTGGGCTGAGCCAGGTGAACATCACGGCTGGTCCGATCACTGTGGGTGCCAGGGAAGCGGGGCCTTCCTATGTCTAGGCCGGAGAAATCAGACATAGCAGGAATCAGAGCACAGGCCGGGGATGGGTTGCCAATGTTGTGGGATCTCCCTGCTCCTTTCCTCGTTTCCCGCCAGCCACATGGTGCAGGGCAGAGGGAAACACTGACTTCCCGGTCCTCGAACTCCAGGGAGGGACTGTCACTCTCTGCCGCTGCTTGTGACGTTGTGGGGTGGGTGTCCACGTGTACTGCCCCTGCTCTGGCCGGCAGCCCTGCCTGCTCCTGTGAAGCTTTCCTTTGTGTCCTCTTCGGTCAGCTCTCATAGGCTTCTCGTCCTGGCCCTGTGATCGCTGCCACCGCAGGACACGATATGGAGGGTGGTACGGGTTTCGAGGTTGGGGGAGTGTTATGGATTAAAAACTGGTGGTCAGTTTAACACTAGCTGAATTAACTCAGCATGGTGCTTAGAGTAGATGGCCCACCTAAGGAAAGCTGCCAGCATAAATAGAGATGTGGAGAAGATGAGCAAGGCATTGTGGGTTTCTCTAAGTGTTACTGTTTGAGCCACTGGTTCTCCTGGAGGAGCTCATCATGACTGACTAGCTTCCCCAGGGTGAGTTCAACCGTTGTCATCAGAGGAGCTCGGGACCTTGTTGGTGAGAGTGGCTATGGCTCACTTTGAGAGAGCTCTGGTCCTTACATAGAGCATCTCTTCTTGGCTCCAGGGGGAAGATGTGTGTTGTTTAATCTCCAGGACAAACTCATCACACTGGCTTTCTGGCATGTCCTCAACTGTTCTTGTCAGAGGAGCTTGGGACTCTGTATCACTGAGGATGGCTGTGGTGCTTTTCAGGACAGCCCTAGTCTTTGTTTTGAGCGTGACTTCTCAGCTCCAGTGTAGAACCCTCAACCTACTGGCAGCTCTTTGAACCTTCTGGCATAGACTTTCTAGCTTCTACAGCTGACCCTTCGGCCTTCCCAGCAGATCTGTAAAACAGACTGGTGTGAGTCCTTGTTGTGGGCTCTAGACCTTTAGTTGGACTCATGGGAGGCACTGTCATGGGTTCTAGGTTTTCAGCAGGACTCATGCAGTACATTGCTGTGGGATCCAGGCCCTTTGGCCGAATATTCTGTGTTTAGTGTTGCACACAGATTTCCTGCACTTCCTTGTGTTTAACTCTGGGTGGCCGCCATAAAATAATACTATCAATTCTGGGTCCTGTGTGTAATTGTCCTCATAACCCCTGACCACTGCAGGGACTGACAGCTGGTTTAGGGACTGAGAAACCCTGACATGTATGTAGGCTGTGGCTTCTCCGACCTCCCAGGTGCTCCTTGCTGTCAGAGGTCCTGGGTTCCTTTCCTTCCCTTCCATTCCGCCATGACTGTCATAGCCCGAGCTGAGAGCTTGTCCCATGCCGTTCAAGGGTTCATGGCAAGAAATAATGCCACCTATCCCACAAAATGAAGATCACTGACTGAAGCTGCAGTTGTTGGTGTAACTGGGGGACCATGGACACTGCCGCCCCGGCCCAAGCTGGGCCTTCCCTGGGGTCGGTGGCTCACTGTCTCCTGGGGGCTGCATGGATACTGGGCTCCAGCCGAGGCATAGACCTCAGCAAAGGCCACTGCCGGGTGTGGAGCAGGTGCTGGCTCGGATGTGTCCAGAGCCACAGCCTGAGTACCAGGCCTCTGGTGGGCCTGGATCACATCACGGTGAGCACAAAGGTGCCAGGTTGGCGCTGGGGCCTTCTCAGGTCAGACAGACGTGTCTGTTACCAGCTTCTATACAAACAGGGTGTCAGTCAGGCCATTAGGACAGACCCAAGTTGCTGTGGTAACTCAGGTAGCACTATGTGGGACTCCCACAGGGGAGCCCAGGTGGGTGGCTACGGCCCTCCTGGTAGCCAAATGGATCAGGAAATCCTAGACTCATTCTGTGATGTTGCTCTGCCCTCTTCACGTGGTCCTGGATGGCTGCTGCAGTACCACCCCTCACACCCACATTCAGCATGTGGAACAAGCAAATTCAGGTTTACCCTAACATTTGCAGAGCAGCAAGAAAGAAAAGAGTTATGTCTGGCTGTTTAAGTTATAAAGCCAAACAAGCTGTTCTTCCTCAGGAGCCTAGGTTAAACTTCGGGCCCAGGTT